GCCAGTTCCAGCCAGATGTCATTTTTTTTCAGTTCTGCATCTGGACTTGCACCAATGGCCTAGGGGTAAAACACCTTGTTGCCACCTCCCTGAGGCCTCCGCTGTCGGTCCATCTCTTTGCCACCTTCTGAGGCAAAAATCTCTCCAGATGCATCCAACAGACACCGCCTGCACTTGCACGCTTGTCTCAGTGGGCAGGCTGTTTGTCAAATTTTATTTGCACATAAACACCTTAAAAGGTTTTTATAAATATTTCCCTCTTAAATACTATACCTGAAATCTACCAGCAGTGACAAATTATGAATAAAACACCCGGAAAAAAGACATGGCCTTATTTATTAGTTATGTTTTCCAATTATCTTACAGACAACTTTTTAAGATATTTAAGATATTTAAGATATTAGCGGCACAAAATTGCAGTAAGGCTCTCCATAATCTTTAAATATAAAGACTAGCAAGCTAAAGGGCATTCTGATAACTGAGTTTCAAATCCTTTGTTCTTATTATTGCTTATAATTATAAAATGTAAAACAAAAACTCATAAACAAATCCTATCCACAATAAATGGCAAAAACTCACTGATTTCTACTAGGCATATCAGAAAACAAAAAAAACAAAAAACTCCAGCATATTCTGGAGGCTCCAAATCCCAGGACTCTGAATTTGCTGACTTTTATATAATCCATTGCTTCAGACTGCCATGTAARTGTTGCTAAACAAAATTTCCTAGATCTCCAGTAAACAGCCTCAGCTTTAGAGTGAGGAAATTAACTCTAGTGGTCCTACTAGCAAGGAAGGCTCTCAAATACTGCCAATGCCAACTCCTTCCATCTACATACATTAAAACAGCTCAAAGCCCTTTACTTTTGAACAATTATTTCCATATTCACCTTAAAACTATTCTGCAAGACAACAGCAGGATATAGTACCCTATGCTAAATCCTAGATAGTTACCACAACTTACACATCTTCCTACTATTGTGTTCAGGTTGACCATGACAGTTGTGCAATTAATCCATTTACTGATTCTTTCCTGCAAACAGTACTATGATAGTGATTTTTTATTTTACTTGAYCAGCTCACATGTACACCAGCTTTTTTTCTTTTCACATGAACTCCAGAACTAAAGAAAATTATATTTTCCTTATTTTGATCAAAGGCCGGGTACATCTGAAAAGATTATCAAATATGTCACATGATGCAATGTGTTACATTTCCTGTTCCAAACACTGAAACAATATTTCTATGTACAAGGTTACTAACATGTATTTTCAAAAATGTAATAAGTACTTTAAAAGATTTTTTTCAAGTGAATATAAGTATTTACTAGGAGAAACTGATCTTCTTAAGAAGCACGCAGAATCCACTTCTAACAGTAGCACTTTTGGTACTAGCTCAGTTAATTGACAGTTCTTGCAGGGAAACTAAATCTCYTCTGTGAAGCATGAAATCTCCCCTAGATAGGAAGAATAACTGACAGGCACCTATCTATAAATACAGGAGAGAGAGAGACACTTTAGCAAGTTCAGAGGCTACAAGGATCTACAAAGGAACCAGCTACTTACAGAGACAGAAAACGGTACTTTTCTTTACATGGGTTACATGCAGGCTATTGCTATTTATTATCTGTATTACTATAATGTGCAAGAGTTTAATCAGGGTCTATGATATCATAGTGTTAGTTCTATAAAAAGACTGAATAAAAAGATGATCCTTAACCTGGAGGGAAGACAGCAACATGGTATCAGTTGAAACATATTATTAGCATTCACCACCCATTTCAAGAATCCCAACCCAAGTCCTGCCTTGACTTGGACCAAATACCAATCCTAATAATTTAATCACATCTTCAGTACTTGATTTGCCTTGCTTTGGGCTGCACAATGACCCTAAGTAACAAACATATCCTGCGTTCGGTTCTTATACTTTGGCAAAAGTATATACAGGTCTGCATGAGAAAACTGAGCAGAACAATCTCACTAATTCTAGTCTAATGTTCTTTTCTGCTAAGCCTTGTTTTAATAAAGTGAGGAGCACTTCAGTCTGTACTGTAACTATCATATTACCAAACTTTTTTTTAAAGTCATTTTTAAATTGTTTAACATTCCAATCTGAGCGAAAGAACTTTCACTTAAATCAGATCTATTCACGTTAARCATATTTGATTTGTAAGAGACAGAAGAGTGACTTAGGAAATCTGATAACTTCAGTCCAAACTCATTTTGATCACTATGTTAATGTCTAGTGTTGATAAGACAGTTTCAAACCAAATATGCGGGAAAAGAAAATACAACAATTCATATTAGCTTTCAATACAATAAGAAGACTACATATGTGCGTGTATGTGTGTGGGGGGGTATATGAATCAGTCATTTGATTTTCACCATACATAYTTGAATGCACTCTGAATACACAGCAAAAAGAGCTAAAAAGGTGTCCATTCCATCCTCCTCCACACACTTTTTCCTCTTTCTCTCTTATGTTTGTCTAGCCAGCACTACAGTTTTTACAGGAACAAATACATTGATTATTTTTTTTTTTTTTTATTCCTGTGATTTAAACGCACTTCAAAACCAACACTTTTCCCCTCTCACAAACCCTGCTAAACTACAGGGAGTGTTTTCAGTGCTTGTGTTCTGAAATCTATTTACTTTCATTTGTTTTTCCCTTTAACRTGGGGCTAAGAAGTACTTTATAGTGCGTTTCTTACTTTACAGTACATATGCAACAATAAAAATGTGATAGAAACTCTCCTGACACAAATCTTTATTAGTTTTGTATTAAATGTGCCTTATAACTTCACCATCTACTGCGCGAACTCACTCTAATCTAATAGAGAGTTTAGAGTTTTTCTAGCCTCCTGCCTTACAAACTCCATCTGAAGACAAATCATTTTAATCTCTTTATGCTTTAAATTTCTTATCTATAATATAGGAATCAGGATGTTTCTTCAGGTCAAAACTGAGGTGAGGTGGGTATACTAGTGTTTGTGTTACAAGGTTTGGAAATAGAAGGCAGGGAAGAATCRGAAAAGACAAGAATAAACAGAACAAATAAGAGGAGAAAAAAAGGTAAATAACAAAAGGCAACAAAAAATAGGTTTAGTCAATGATATAGGCAGGAATAAATGTAGGCTGCTTATGTTCACCTGTAATTTGAGCAAAGCAGACCATTTTTTCAACTCACAGGTGAGTTTACTCCCACATTATCTGCATAACTGATTGAGACAAGAAATACCAAGGCAAAAGAAGGCAAACAGTGCTTTCAGAGAATACAAAGAGGCAATAAAGAGAAAGACTACAGAGAGGTAGGGAACATTTTTTTCCTTTTGAATCAGAAGTAAGCAGAGAAAAAGAGAAAGAAGTGGAATTCAAGATCAYAAACTGTTTCTGCATTCCCTTTAAAATGTATTATGGATTTGTGCTGTTCTGCTTTCTGTCAGGCAGTCCTTGGTCTAAAAATAACACTCCCCTAAACATACTGTTTAGATTTAGGCCCCAAATAAGCTAACTATCTGTTGCTATAACTATTTCATATGTGCCTCTTGACAGTGCCTTCTTATGCAGATGCAGCATGTGGAGGCAAAGTAACTGTCTGAAATAACCCCAATAACATAYGTGTTTGTATGCAGAGCTTTGCTGATACAACAGTCTCAACTGTTACAGCATCCACGTTTTCCATATCCTATGAAACAGAATTAGGGCTATAGTCTAAACACGACCTTCAAAACACACCTTTAACCCATAGTTTCACTCCTTTAAATTCCCTGCAATTTCCTCCATGAATGAAAAGGAGCTAAATTGCAAAAGGCTTGTATTCCTTCCTTCTACCTCCTGTGTAAAGAGATTAAAATTAAAAATATCCATCTAGCACAATTCTAAATGTCTAAAACATTCTGCATTCTGAGGAGGAATTTCTTGTTGAATCAATCAGAAGAATCTCTTGAAATCTGTACTTTGAAATAGCACCTAAATGTGTGATATGAAAAGCTAAGTTGTGCCCTGCCAAACAAAGTATGAATAACAAACTCTTTATGAAGCATTTGTTGAGGGGAAAAAAAAACTAGTATAGGTACTGTCTTCGATACATTCATTCACAAGCAAAAAGGATGGCTGGCAACCTTTACATTCCTTTCAAGCTCACTGAGCAGCTTCAGTTAAAACAGGGTATTCTGTTCCCTCTCTGCCCTGCACACATTTCAGCATTTGTAATTCACAGGTTATAAAGTGTCACTTGTTTCTTGTATTTGTACTTCGCTACTGAAACCTCAGCCTGTTTTTCTGAAACTTTACAAACTATTGAACTAAGACTCTTTCTTTTCATTATATAAAACCACAACTACAAATAATCTTTATCATCTTTCAGATTTTGTATCTCTTACAATTGCAACAGCTACCTACATAGACAGTCCTTTCTGACTGCCAGACAAGCAAGTTTGTACTTAGAAAATGACCTGCACTGCAACAAAAACCCATGCATGAAAATCTGAAAAAGGAAGCTGCTAAAAACACTGGCCCTGACAAATTTTAGATCATCCAGTGTTTTGGCTCATGTCAGGACTGCACCTTTGAAGCAAATCTCCTGATTATCTCGACCGGCTATGCTGAGATTCACAGCAAGGACAAGTCCCGGAGCACATAAGCCGGATTCCTTTTGAATGAAACTAAGCTAAAAGATACACTGCAGGAACATGCTTATTGCACTCCAAACACAAATGGGCATTGCTTAGTCTAGAGCAGTGCTGCTGTGAAGTAARCCTTCAAAAATGTGTATAGCAAGGACGTCAATTACTTTGAACGAACTGTTTCACTTCCAAATCCACCTSTACCGGTCTGCATGACTTGCTCTTATCAATCCAGCCCAAGAGAGCAGGTTTTCTCTGTAACTACTGTGAAAGCATAGTTATAATGTTAAACTTAAGATCTTGATTTTGTTCGTTCAATACACAATAATATATAGATTCAATCACATTCAACAAAAAACCACTATGCTGTACTTACCAGTCTGGGGATTTATTGAAAAGAAGCCCTGTGGATTTCCACTAGTAATCTTGTAGGTTAACTTCTCGCTTGAGCTGGAATCTGGATCAAATGCCTCAATCTGCACAACGGACACATCTTTAGGCGAGTTTTCCATGACTTCTGGGTAATAAACTGGTTCTGTTGTCTGAGGGGCATTATCATTAACATCCCCGACTTCTATGTAGATTTCGATGAAAGAYGATAGAGGCACAACACCTTGGTCTGTTGCATAAATGGTTAACCAGTAATGGGAAGTAGTCTCACAGTCCAGATGATCAGCAGTCTCTATAATACCTGTTAAACAGGAAGATAAAGAAATAAAAAGCTCATTAAATATACAGAAACATGTAGAAAAAGAGTAAGTAACAAGTTAATAAAATCACATAACTGAGACCAGTTCTACAAGAACTGTTTATGTGTTCATATAAACATACAATGGCTCACCTGAAGTCACAAAAAATAAATTACTAAAGCATTTTTCAKTAATTATGTATTGCAGATACTGACACAGTGTATTTCTTAACTTTCTTTCCAGCATTTTTTGAGGTTTATCTGATCAATTAACTATTCACAAAAGCTATTTTGCCTAAACAACTAACTAGATGAACTGTAATGAGTAATTTGTAGCCTTTGCAGAATGACACTTGAATGACATTCTTTATTCTTTCAATTACAGTATATCTTACACAATATTAAATTATCTGATTTAGATGCCAAGCTTCTGAATGTTTATTGTTATCCACGTCAGTGAGTAGCTATTGAAATGCMATATATTCTTACAAATGTGTCTAAATTAACAGATGTAAGTATTTGGGCTTACAAAGAAATCTTAGCAAAAAAAAAAAAAATCAAAATTTGCCCTGAAGTTAATTTTTGTAGCTTTAGGACAAATGGCTGCCATTATTCTGGTAAGAGAAAGCAGTGCTTAGCTTCAGAGCCGCACACCCATAAACTGAACTGCCGCCTAAGCAACAGCTACAGAATTCACAAACTTCATAAAAATCCATCTATTGAGTTTACAGGAGCTGAGCAAGAACTAAATAATGAATGAGGAACTCAAGTTTTGATCCACTGTAAAAAGAGTAAGCATAGTGCTATTTTATAAGTATCTTTACTCTTTTACAAGTACCTTTACTCTACAAGGTACAGCCACAAGGTGTTACTTGTCAAACTAGCATACGAYGTGGCGATAACTTATTTGAGGAGGGGAGAATATCAAAGAGCTTCATAGAGCCAAGCCATGACAGAAACTTTGMGCGTCTTCCTTTTTTCCAGCCAGTGTCTCTTACAGCTTGCTGCCTTCCAGATATTTGTTACACAGAATTTAAGGTGACCCGAGTATGTCACAGGGGTGAGGGATCAAAAAACCCCTCACAACCATTTCTGTGGGAACCTTACAACAGTTCTGCCATGACTCTGGCTTTTATATGACACTCATACATAAAGGCCTAATCAGGATTAGTCCCCAAATGAGCCAAAATATCCCCCTCGCATCTGGTTTGGGACTTTGCATACATCCACTCKACAAGAGCACGTGTGCCTGGCCCCTGAGCCCATCTACTCTACTCCCCATATACACTGCCAGGAAAATGGGAGCTAGCTGAGCCATGTCATTATGCTTTTAAATTCTACAGGAAAGGATTTAATTGTAAATGTAATTTCCTTCACACACCCCAGGCACATGGCCTTGTTTTTACTTAAAGAGCAAAATGAGAATTCATCCCAAATTTTAAGATGCCAATAAGATACTTCAGGGAGTTGGAGGCAATAGTACGTAATAGCTGAACCTGCAGAAYATCCATATGTAAAATTTCTATCAACTCAGCATTTAGAGCTGCCACCAGATGTCACTGTGGAAACTAGCTCTATAAAATGYAAAAGATTTCAGAATTAGAATCAAAAGGAGGGCTGGCAAACTTCCATAGCCTCAGAACGTATGTATGCTCACAACCTGTAAATTCTTGAAAGCAATTCTTGAAAGCAAAATGGTGGCTTCTGATTTCCTTCTTTCCAGAGAAATACCAGCAAAACCCAAGGTATTAATTTTAAGGATCCTGTCATTTCAMACTGCCAGTCTCTCCAGCTAGCTATTTGTATTTTGTTAGACTGCAGTTTYATATACATAAACACTATTCAGTCACTGCATTGTGCTGTGGTTAACASTTACCTATTATCTGCATAGATTCCACATTTAGCATAATTTCTTTATAGGATATCATAAATTTGCACTCTCAAAACAAATGCACAAGTCCTGAGCACGAAGTTACCTGCACTCTATTTTTCTAGCTCACTTCTCTTACACATTTTCAATTTCTCTGCTTCAGCCAGGAGACTTTTTGGAAGCACATAAATTGCTTAATTCTGCAGGCTGCTTCTCCACAAAACCTTCATGCTGGGTATGGCATGCAGGCACTCCACCTTCAGAGATCAAGCAGATTCTATAAATACACTGGAAATCTTTGCAAGACCTTCCAGTCCTACCAAGCAGAGGAGCCGCATGTGCTAAGCCCCTTCCAGCAAGGCTTGCAGCGAGGCTGTTCTGCTGCCCGCAGCCTGAGCAGCACCCAGGGCACGCTGCCAGACTCAGCAACCTTCGCTTCCTTTTACACCTGTCCTGCAGTCTGAAGCGCAGCGACATCCAAACTGGCAGATTAATTTTAAGACAGCCTTAAGATTTTAAAGAAATAGTTTCTTCTTGTAATAGAGCTCTCCTGAAATCTTGCTCAGCTGACGCATACAGATTGTACAACCTTAGCTATGAAAGCTTAGCCAGAGARAAAAGGGCTGACATTGTTTTGCTTTGGTGGACTGCTAATTCTCTGACTCTCTAAAATCACACGCTTTTAGGGGGGGGGAGGGGGGAAACACACCACAACTAAATAAATATGAGGGTTTTGGTTTTTTTCAAAAGGAAAAGATGCAACAGGATTATAGAGATAAAGACTAACAGTACAATACAGCAACCTGAGTAACTTCTAGATCCCTTTCAAATTAGACCTACATCTCTGACATGCTTGATGCATGTTCCATGCTGACTTTTGCATTAGTACAATGACGAGTCCGTGATCAGTCTAACCATCTGACTGCTGAACAATTCAGGCCACACAGATGTCTACCCAACAGGGTAGCTCTTGCATTCCAAACTTCTCCAATTTTAATTTTCTACAGGGTCACCTGTACTCTGAGTGTATATTATTAAAAAGAATACATGAAGTCTCATTTATTAAAAYAATTCCATGTTTCTCATGTTGAAATGGATCCTGAACTGTTGGGTATACATTTTTTCAAGAAGCATTACTGTATATAAGCCCAAATTGAAATATTTTATGAGCAGCCACTTAAATAAAATGCATACATTAGTGTTTAGATTTAACACCAAATTAAAAATCAGTTACTAAATGAATATTTCCTAGCAGTACAAAGATAAAGATAATAAATAAATAAAATGAAGGGGGCTAACCACATGCCCTGCATTGAATCTATTTAAAAGTTTAATACAGACAGAATAGCAATATATAGACAATTTGGAAAAAATGTTGAAGTTGGACAGCATGCATTAGAAGTGGATTTTTTGGCAATATTAAAAAGGGACTTGAAATAATATTCCTGCAGTGTACAAGCCATGCAAAGGCTTATACAAGAGATAAGGAAGGAGMAAAATTTCCCTTCAGCCCTTGGACTCAGAGGGGAGGGAGACAGGGCACCACACCTGGCTCTCCTGGAGCTCCAAGGGAGGGAAGGGATGACTGGTCTGCTGACATGACTCAGCTTTCTTCCTATCATCCCCACCCAACAATAAAGTAGCAACTCAGTGATCAGGCCTCGAAGGAAAATAATYCCACTATCAGAATCTGAGCTCCTCCTAGTACTGCATCAGCACATATTATTTTGGAAAATACAATCAACARTTTAAACAGATGCACAAAATAAYTGTCACCTTCAGGCCAAATTACCATGAGATCCAACCTTACATGAGGAATTACAAATACAATTTTTTTTTCTTTTTTTACAATTTTTGTCATTGCTTCAGTTAAAGTCACTCATTTCTTCAAGCTTAAGACTAATTCTTTCCTGATCTTGCATGAGGACACTAGTAGCCTCATCATAGGTTTCTAGGAAGCAATAGTGAATACCAATGAGCAGAAACGGCAGCACAGTTTGCTACCCCTTCTAGAAGGCACAAGTCCAAAGAACACTAACATGACTAAGAACATTTTGCAACAGAGATTTTGAAGGAGAACAGTAAGTTCTCCTACCAAAYCAGAGGTCTAGAGTGTGTCTTTAAAGTACTATCGGCTGGCCTCCAACTTCCTGCTTTTGCAAAATTTATCTTTCAACCCCAGCAGCCCATCCCATCGACCAGGGAGTAACACCCTTCCAATGTCCAAAGACTAACGTCCGCACACTCAACCGAGTAAGTCAACCGGAGATCTGGTGGTTCTAAAACAGCAGATAGAAAAATGACATTGCAATTCAAATATCAAAGAGAAATAATAAAATAAACTATAAGGGAGCAAAAGTTTGTTTTAATCTTGCAATCGGCTAACTCTGTTAAGTATCAGTGATCAGTATCATCATTTTTGGCAGCATTTTTTGGCTCTGAACAGATATCTGTTCACCTTTTTTCTTTAAATGATGCAAAGCCCAACAGATGTAGTACTGCTATTGTATTTTCAATACTGTATACAGTATAGTCTGTCRTTAGACAGAAAAAGATGAAGAAAGGAAAGTCTCTCTCTTTAGACAGAAAAAGTGACAGAAGGATTTTTTTAAAAACTTGTCAGGTTGTCAGGATAAAAACACATTCATATTTACCTCTCATTAGACATCAGAGGGGAATACAAAAGCCTTCTGATGAAATATTTCCCAGTCTTCTGGGAAAGGACATCAGAGTTGATTTTACAATATTTGTACCTCTGAAATTTTATATCAGAACCAACAGAACTTTCCTACTAGTTGTTTTAAAATAAAGCAGAAGTCCTAAGTTAATACTATAGGATAAAAATGGGACAAAATGCAGTATGGAGGAAGGCTTAAGAAGCAAAGGAAAAATTAGAATATTAACCCCGCACTTGACAAGAAACATGAACTTTACAACCAACATTACTTCCCATTTAAATCCCGTAATCCAAATTGCTAGAACCAAAGTCACTCTTAAAATAAAAACAAAAATACAAATCCATCTGAAATCTGACAGCCTTACATATGCCAATGCTATCCAATTAACAAATGCTCAAACGATAATACTCCCAATTCCCAGGGATGATCCTCTTTAAGTGTGCTTATCCATGAGA